TCTATTTTTATTCGATATAAGATGGGGTTAATGGCCGGGCGCGGTGGCTCAAGCCTGTAATCCCAGCACTTTGGGAGGCCGAGACGGGCGGATCACGAGGTCAGGAGATCGAGACCATCCTGGCTAACACAGTGAAACCCTGTCTCTACTAAAAATAGAAAAAATTAGCCGGGCGTGGTGGCAGGCGCCTGTAGTCCCAGCTACTAGGGAGGCTGAGGCAGGAGAATGGCGTGAACCCGGGAGGCGGAGCTTGCAGTGAGCTGAGATCCGGCCACTGCACTCCAGCCTGGGTGGCAGAGCGAGACTCCGTCTCAAAAAAAAAAAAAAAAAAAAAAAAGATGGGGTTAATAATGCTAATTCTCTCATAATGTTTTCTGAGGATAAAATGAGTTATTTTGTATACTTTGAAGGGTACCAGGCAAATGGTAAGCTCAAAATTAAGATTGAACATATTTATTATTGTTTAGAGTATTCAAATTTATAAACGCAAAAGGATTTTTATTACTTTAATATCAGTATTTTACATATGTAAAATAAATTAAATATTAAGTAAAGTTTTTTTAACCAAATATCAAATATAGCTAAGAATTTTGGATACCTAGTTTTATAAATTACATATAAATGATTAACTTGAGTGTTCTGAGGGAAAATATTATTATGTCTTTTATTCATGTACTTAATACTAGTTTCACTCATTCATTTAAGAGATATTTGTTGACCTTTTACTACATGCCATAAACTGTAGTTGAATAGGATAGTGAACAAATGGATGAAAATCTTTGCTTTTCTGTAATTGATGGAGAAACCGTAATGAAATAAATTAATATCATGAAAAATATAGTAGAGAAGAATAAAGGAGATAAGAAGTGCAAAAAAATAAATAAATAAAAAGTACTTGCAATTGCAATTTCAAATATGTTAGCCAGGGGAGATCACTGAGTATATTAGTTTTCTATTGCTGCCTAACAAATTACTACACATTTAAGGCTTAAAAGAACAAAAATTTATTCATTTTTCTATTTTCTGTGGGTCAGGTCAAGAGTCTAGACACAAACTACCTGGGCCCTGTGCTCAAAGACTTACAAAACTGAAATCAAGGTGTTGACTGTGCTCTGGTTCTCATCTGGAACTCAGGGTCATCTCCAAGGTTATTCAGGTGGTTGATGGAATTTAGATTCTTGTAGTTGTAGGATTGTGATCTCTGTTTTCTTGCTGCTTCTCCACTAAGGTCACTCTCAGCTCCTATAGGACTGATCCATCCATCATAATCTGAATAATCACCCTTTTGATTAGCTAAAGAAAGGAGTGTTGGTGATCAATTGCATCAAATGTTGCTGATAGGCCAAAATGAGAAGAGAAAATTGACTGGATTTAGTAATATAAAGGTCATTGGTAACCATGAGGGGAACAGATTTGTTAGAATGGTGGAGATGAAAGCCTCTTGGGTGATGGTTAAAAATGAATGGGAAGAAAAATTTGAGATAGAGTATAGAAAGTGTATTGAGCAGATTTGCTGAAAGGGAAGCAAGAGAAGAAACATTAGCTAGAGAGGAGGTGGAGCCAAGAGAGGGTTTTTTAATGGGAGAAAAGTATGTTTAATTGCTGATGGAAATGACACAGTAGAGAGGTAAAAGTAATATCTGATGTCATAGGAGAGAAGGGGGAGAATTGCTGGAAGCACATCCTTGAGTAGGGAAGTGAGATGGGATCAAGTGCCCAAGTTGGAAGGGGTTGGACTTAGATGGGAGTACTGATAGCCATCTTTCATTCCAGCGGGGACAGCAAAGTACATGGATTCAGTAGGTTGTGGGTATTCTCTTCTGATTACTTCAGTTTTCTCAATGGACTAAGAAGCAAGATCAGCTAAAACTGAGCATGATAATGGAAGTGCTTGAAATATGAGTAGGAGAGATTAGGCATGAAAACACCATCAAGAAGAGTGGGAGAGTAAAAGACCAGGCAAATGTAATATGATTGCCAGGCAGTGTTATGGACATACATGAAATGCACAGTCATGAATGTAAATGAAACGAGTTTACATGCTATATGTTTTCTTAAGTCATGTTAGTTGTAGGGCCTCCACAACTAGCAAGACAGAAAATAATACATAACCAGGGTTGTGATTCAGACAAATGACTCTGAGCAAGACAGGTAAGGGAATTGGGGATGTGAAAAGGAGTAATTGCAATGATTGGTCATGGAATTTAAGTTGGTAAAAAGGGGGAAAAAAGGGAGAGAAGGGGGAGAGAAAAGTGAAAAGCATAAATTGAAGACCTACCAAGCACTATGGTAAATTATTAGAATAAATTAATACAAGCTTTTCTTTAAAACTGGCTTTCTGATAACTCTAAGGCTGTACTGTATAAAGTAGGGAGGTCAAGTGATCCTGAGCTTTAGCTCCTCATGAGCTGCAGGTAACTCCCATCACAATGACTTATTCTGACAAACTCAAAGCACTTTCATAGCTCCTATCCTTTGGTACACTTATGAAGGAGGCAAGAGCAGGAACTAATATGTTTGCTTTATATATAAATGTAACATCTTTGTTTTATATCTAGATATGCAGAGGTAAGCGTAAAGAGAGGATTCCTGTACATAGTTTTTAATTTAATTTAATTTAATTTAATTTTTGAGATGGAGTTTCACTCTGTCGCCAGGCTGGAGTGCAGTGGCGTGATCTCAGATCACTGCAACCTCCACCTCCTGGGTTCAAGCGATTCTCCTGCCTCAGTCTCCCGAGTAGCTGGGGCTCCAGGCATGCGCCACCATGCCCAGCTAATTTTTGTATTTTTAGTAGAGACAGGGATTCACCATGTTGGCCAGGATGGTCTTGATCTCTTGACCTCGTGATCCGCCCACCTCAGCCTCCCAAAGTGCTGGGATTATAGGTGTGAGCCATTGCGCCCTGCTGACACAGTTTTATAATATACAAAGTTGAAATTATTGCTAACTCAAATCACTGTTTCTCTGTGTGACTACTTTCAGCTTCCTTAGTTCCAGTGCTCAACAACTCATGCTGCCCTGTGGTTGTTCCACATTCCCCACTGCAGTCTTCTCAAGATTTTAGGCAGCAGCCATGCACTGTAGTTTTCTCATTTCCCAGGCTTCCTTCATTGAAAACTTCCTGTGAGTTTCTCAGTTCTATTGAGTAACCCATTAACCACTTTGGTAAATGAATGCCAACTTGACCTAAGTTCTTAATCTTGTTATCTGTCTTAGAGTGGTGGTTTTCAGTATGCTCTTCCCTCAACCCACAGTAAGAAACACAGGTTATATCAAGACCTAGGTCTCAAATACATGTATCTACATACACACAACCCACAGTGAGAAACACAGGTTACATCATGACTTAGGTCACAAATACATGTATCTACATACACACATATACAGCTGAAACAAAAATTTTCCAAAATATGCTTAATTACATGTGATACACTCTGATGGTTTCTATTCTATTATATTCTATTTAAAAAAATACTGGTTGGGACTCACTAAGCTATTTACCAGCTACTAATGGTTGATGGACTGCAGTTTGACAATATAAGGGGCTTTTGATGCTTATAATGCAGGTAGGCGATAATCATGGCTCATAACAGATTTAAGTATTTTACAAAATAACTCCTAATTGAGACTGATAGGATACGTATATTTTAGTGACTGAAAAGAGCTGGGAACTAGCAGTTACTAGAAAGACTGTAGAACTTCAAAAGACCCAAATCCTGTCGTTCATTCTAATACTTAATAACTTTGACATTGGTTTCCTATTCTGCCCTCTCTCATGTTCCATCTGTCTAAAATGGAGTTCAAAACACCTGCTAGGTGTAACTCTGAAATTTATTCTCAAGAGCAAGAGAAATGTAAGTAATGGAGGTTTATAAATAGCAAATGTAAGACTCTCTAATTTTATTTCTGGATTGGGTTTATGTTGGAACTCTGAAAGTCAGACAAACCCTCCAAAGATAAGAATATTCCCTGTCACCAACTGCTTTGATTGATCTTAAGTTTCCATATATTATTCAAATATGTTGAATTATTTGAATATTATGTTGTTTCTTATGTATTCAAATAAAATTTGTCAGAAGAATCTTTTAAACTTAAAAAATTATCTACTTGATATGATATGTGTCTAAAATTTTTACGCACTTTAATAAAAAATGAGTCATGGGTTTTTATTAGGTTTTGGGATAAATCCACACACCAGCCTGGAAGGCATAGTTCTAATACAGCTGCTGTACATTTTCTTCACAGCTTATTTGTAATGTCATTAGTCATTGTTAGGTCTGTTAGTCAGAAGTTTCACGTCTATAATGAGACTCACTTGTGGTCATCATTTTTAGTAATTATTTTAAAAAATGTTGACGTACAATTTTGTGTGTTGAAATTCAGTTCTATTCACAGATTTCTCCTTCTGTTCTTCTGCAAATCAACATGGATAATCTCAAAATAACAGTGCCTCCCTACACTCTAAGCATTTTGGATGCCTCATCATATTAATATTGTGCCCTTTTACTATTTCCACTAATTAATTTTGCTCTTTAACTTTTACTGATCAATGTGGACCAAATTTTAATTACAACATTGCTATGAAATAATACCAAATTAAATCTGATAGTGTCATGCTGTGAGCTAGTGAGGGATATTAACATTTTTGAACACGATAAGTTGATTTCAAACCAGATGGACTTGTAACCAACTTCAGAATAATGTTCAAAATCTAGTTGTGAAGAATTTTGAATATTACATTAAAGGTTCAAATTTGGGGTGTCTGGTAAAATGCTGGAGGCTTGGAAACATGTAACTTTACATTATCTCTATCCCATTATACTCTTATTAGAAAGTTAAAATATGCAGTGATGTAAAGAAGGAATTCAGTAGTGTATATGATACATGTCTATTAATTCCCACAATTGATTTAAATATTAACTTTAATATAAATAGTGCAATATGGTTGATTATTTACTCATTAACTAAACATTTCATTATTATCTACTCTGTACCAGATACTATACCAGGTGATGAAGATAGAGTGATGAATAAAATTTAGTTCCTACTCCAGTGGGACTTAGAGTCTGGTGGAGGAGATGAACACATAGTCATATGGATAGCATAAAATCAGTGCCACACTGGAGGTATGTACTGGGTTCTGTGGAAGTATAGAAGAAAGCCACTTGAGTGTTCAGATTGCTTTATGGAAGAACTGTCATTTAATCTGTGTCTTCAAAAATTATCTTAAAAATTTATTGATGTAATACATGAAAACGTAATAATAATCAAATAATTTAGAAGAGCTTATGATAAAAATAACAGAACCATTTCTCTTCAACAACTATTTGGATTCCTGGCTGTGAACTCTTTTAAATACCTTTTTTTCTTTTCTTTTCTTTTTCGTTTTCTTTTTTTTTTTTGAGACAGGGTTTCACTCTGTCATCCAGGTTGGAGTGCAGTGGTGCTATCACAGCTCACTGCAGCCTCGACCTCATGGCTCAATTGATCTTCCCACCTCAACCTCCTGATTAGCTGGGACCACAGGTGCAGTGCAGCATACCTGGCTGATTAAAAAAAATTGTAGAGATAGGGTTTCGCCATGTTGCCCAGGCTAGACTTTTAAATACTTCGTTTGCATTTCTTTTTGTGATTCCTTCATGATACTAATTATATTTATTTTGAGTCGTTTAGAGTTATTTATCATTTCATTACTTCCACGGGTTACTTTTGTGATAATAGTAATAAGCTAACACATTATGAGATATTATCATCCCCACTCTTTCCTCCACCTTTTATTTTACCTCCCTTAGTTCCCACCATTTATTAGCTAACCTATTTTTATTAAGACTATTGTAATTTGTCCTTTGAAATTAAACAGCAACCAAATCTTTCACCCTTTCTCCATGAATTAAGTCTGGAAATTTACATTTTTATGACTATGCTGAGTCATGCATTGTGCTATGACAGAATACATTCTCTTTTCTCACTATCAATTACTTAAAACTGTGCCAGAGATTTAATTTGTTTCCATTTGTATCATAGCCTTTTATACAACTTTCTTCCTTTATTTTCTTTAGGTTAGCCATGAACTTTTCTTTCTTTCTCTCTGTCTTTCTTGGCTTCACTATATTAGCACATTATTGTTTTAAAGAGGTAATGTGTCTTTATTGCGTTTTTCACACATTCTCCCTGTGATTCTCAAATGGAGGTCTTCTCTTACACGCCTTCCTCCTGACACCATCCATCCTTCTACTGTAATACAAATCAGTTACTCTTTAGAACTGTCGTACAGGAATATCCTTCATTGCTTTCCTGGGTGCCACCCACCCTTTTAGAATCCTGTCTCTTCTCTTCTTTCTTCTCTTTATTATCTTACTCCTTTTTTTTTTTTCTTGTGAACCCTTTCTTTAAAGGGTATGTGGTAAATATATATCATATTAGCAAATGCTTTTATTCTGGTGTGTGTGTGTGCGTGTGTGTGTGTGTGTGTGTGTGTGTGTATGCGTGTGTATCTGTATGCATGTGATTGAACTGGGTATATAATTTTTGAGTCAAAAATATTTTCTCAAAAACTGTAAGGTTTTGGTCTATTTTCTTAGCATTCAATGTTGGTGATAAATTTAAACTAATCTTTTCTTTTATTTATTTTTATTTTTTCCCTAGAACCTGGGTCTCACTCTGTCCCCTAGGCTGGAATGCACTGGTGATGTGATCATGGCCCACTGCAGCCTCGAACTCCTGGACCCGAGCAATCCTCCTATCTCAGTCTCCCAAGTAGCTGGAACTACAGGTGTGAGCCCACCTGGCTAACTCATTTGTTTTTAGATAACCTGTTTTTAATCTCGGAAGCTTTTATGATTCTCTCTGGGTATAGGTCTTTACTATAATCATTCCACTTGGCATTTTTCACTTTAAATACTCTTATCTTTCAACTTTGAAGAATTTGATGCTATCAGTTCTCTGTTGATTTCTTCTTCTCCATTTTCTGTATTCACGTTGTTTTTGGATTTCTATTACTCAAATGTGGGGCCTCCATACCACTTCTATAGGTCTTTCATCTGTTCCCTCATGCTTTCTGACTCTGCATTTCTGCTTTATACTGTAGCAGAGTTCTCTACTTTATTTCCTAGATTTTTTTAAAATTATATTTTAAGTTCTAGGGTACATGTGCATAACGTGCAGGTTTGTTACATATGTATACTTGTACCATGTTGGTGTGCTGCACCCATCAACTCGTCAGCACCCATCAACTCGTCATTTACATCAGGTATAACTCCCAATGCAATCCCTCCCCCCTCCCCCCTCCCCATGATAGGCCCCGGTGTGTGATGTTCCCCTTCCCGAGTCCAAGTGATCTCATTGCTCAGTTCCCACCTATGAGTGAGAACATGCGGTGTTTGGTTTTCTGTTCTTGTGATAGTTTGCTAAGAATGATGGTTTCCAGCTGCATCCATGTCCCTACAAAGGACACAAACTCATCCTTTTTTATGGCTGCATAGTATTCCATGGTGTATATGTGCCACATTTTCTTAATCCAGTCTGTCACTGATGGACATTTGGGTTGACTCCAAGTCTTTGCTATTGTGAATAATGCTGCAATAAACATACGTGTGCATGTGTCTTTATAGCAGCATGATTTATAATCCTTTGGGTATATACCCAGTAATGGGATGGCTGGGTCATATGGTACTGCTTTACTGTTAATTCCATTTAGTAGTTTGTTCTGCATTTTCCAGTTGTTAGAGATCTGTTATTATTCCTCATTTTTTGAAAAGTTCTTTTCTACATTCTTTTTAGTTATGTATTAATTATATTTTTGTGCATTTATGTTTTTATTTTAGTGCTGTGTCAGGAGAGATAAGATGTATTGCTAAGACCTAGTATGAATTTGAGTCAGAACTATAAGCAGCAGCAGGTTGTTTTAGGGTTAAAGTAACGAACTAGAAACAGTGGGGCCACATTTTGCTGATTTTTTTTTTTTTTTTTTTTTGATGGAGTCTCAAATCTCACTCTGTCACCCAGGCTGGAGTACAGTGGTGCTATCTCGGCTCATTGCAACCTCTGCCTCCTGTGTTCAAATGATTATCCTGCTTAGCCCCCCAGAGTAGCTGGGAGTACAGGCCCATGCTGCCACGCCCAGCTAATTTTTAATTTTTGGATTTTTTGATTTTTAGTAGAGATGGGGTTTCACCATGTTGTCCAGGCTGGTCTTGAACTCCTGCCCTCAAGTGATCTACCCTCCTTGGTCTCCCAAAGTGTTGGGATTACAGGCCTGAGCCACTGTGCCCAGCCTGCTGAAATAATTTCTAGGTGTCATATCGTGGAGGGTGTTGTAGACACACTCTACTAAGGACACTGGACTTTATCTTACAGGCACTGAATGTTTTAATTGTGAAAATAGTATGATCTTGTAAAGAAGATATATTTAAGGACTAGAGGCCAGGAGGACAGTTAGAAACCTGTTGAAACAATTTATGTTGGTGATAAGGATCTGATCCAAAGCAGAGAGATCAGAGAGAAGATGAGGCACAAATAATAAAGAGATAATACAGAATAAATTTCCAAAATTGAGTAAAAATATGAAGACAGTAAATGCTAAGAACCCCAAGTAGGATAAATGCAGAGAAAACTACCTGTAGTCACATCACAATAAAACTTCCAAAAACCAAAGATGAAAAAAAGCAACCTTAAAAACAGCCAACTGATGATAAAACAATATATATTACCTTCAAAGGAGCAAATAAAGGCAAAATAAGAGTGTTATCTTTCTTCTCAAATGAATAATGAAATCTAGAAAATAATAGAGTGATAATCCTAAAAATCCTAAAATAAAATATGGCACAGCTTATAATTAAAGTCTAGTCTACGTCTACTTTTGCCTAATGTTCCATGTCCTTATTCATTAAGGCAATATTTTGTCTTAATGAAATGTTCCTGTTCATTAAGAAAATATAAGAAAATATTTTATTCTCTTGTAATTTTGTGGAGCTAATGTCCATAAAATGCATCATTTAAGTAGTTAATTTTGTAAGATGATGGGCTTGGTAGAGTAACTGAGATTTAAATCCTTGCTGTTTAATCTGTTCTAATTGGTTAAGGGTAATGCCCAATTTAGAAGCAAAAAGTGAAATTGCAGATTTGTTTTTAACTCCCTTCAGCTCTGAAGTTTAATAGTTTCAAAAGCATCTCCTTTATTATACTTACCATAAGAAAGTTGACTCTTAGATTAGTCGTGGCAATATTTGATAAACATAATAATGCCAATATTTCACTGAAAGGAAAATAATTGTGAATAGAAAGCTGTGTGTAATAAGGGGATTATAAAGATGTAGGTTCAGAGCTTTGTTTATTTACTTAGTAGGTGAGTACTTGTTGTGTTGCCTAGTAGAGTGCAGTGGCTATTCACAGGCATGACCATAGTGCACTACAGTCTCATTCCCGAATACTGGGACTACAGGCGGGCACCACCACACCCAGCTGTAGAGTGGATCTCTGAAAATCTTTACATTTTATGTAATGTTAAAAGAGTGAAAAAAAAGAAAAACAAAAAAAGTTTCTCAATGTGTGCTAGGAATTTTGTTGACACTCCACATATATAATTTTCTTTCACCCTAAAATGAATTTATAATGTATGTGTTATTTTTTGTTATTTTACAGATGGGAAAACTGACTTAGAGATGTTAAATATCCTGGATTATTGTCAGTTTAACAAAATAATTTCAGCTATCGATGATCAAGTGGGATACATTTCAGAGGAAGAAACAGCTCCTTACATAAATTCTAGAAAAAACATGGTGGTTAACTGCCTCCATATAAAGCTGATTTTTTAAAAAAATCTTTTAGGTTTAGGGGTACATATATGGAGTTGTTATACAGATAAATTGTGTATCATGGGGGTTTGGTGTGCAGATTATTTCATCACGCTGGTAATAAGCATAGGACCTGATAGGTAGTTTTCAGACCTTCTTCCTCCTCTCACCTCACCCTCAAGTAGGCACTGGTTGTTCCCTTCTTTGTGCCCATGTATACTCAATGTTTAGCTAATTCTAGCCTGTAGATTTAATCACAGATCTCCCATTAACAATGCTGTGCTGCTCCCTTCTTTGGCTATTTCAACTATCTGCTGATTTCTTTTCTTTTTACTACTATTTCATTTGCAGTGGAGCCAACCAATCCTAACAAAGTTGAATAGTAGATAAATTATACCATTTCATCTGAAGAAATACCTGTCGCATTTTTACTTTTTCTCTCACTCTATCCTCTACTAAAAACTGTTTTCAGATAAACTTCTGAAACCAATCATTTATAACTGGATATAAATTCAAATTGTTTTTACTTCTCAGAATATTATCTCAAGCTAACTTGAATTGGGTAATAAAAGACATTTTACTCTATTAAAGAAAAGCTAGGCATTTCCTGAAATATCAGTTTGGAAGCAATTCACCTAGATGTCATGCGAACCCTAAAATAAAATAAAAAATCTAGACTGGTTATGTATATTTGCCTGTTGAAAAAGATCTAGATGATTTTTTAAAATTCTAAATGTTACTTCCTAATAAGTATTTTTTTTAAAAGTTGGTCACCAGACTTCCCCTAAGCAGTAAGAGATATCCAAATTTTTATATAAAGTGGAATTATGAAACCTGATTATGTACAACTGCTGTTCTACCATGTTTGGGCTACATTGGTAGGAATACCTGTTAGCTGTGCATTTTCAAAGATTGCTTATACTTGGAGATTATGAATGTTTGGCCACTCCCAGTCGGAGCCAGGCCTATATTGATCAAGGATAATGAAAGGAAATACTGATGATGGTATTTCTTTGACAGTTTCCGTTAAGAGGAAATATTAGTCTGAATTAGAGTGTAACAAAGGGAATGAGGATCCAGTAATTTAAAGAAGATAGAACTTGATTTGTCCTTTACATAACAATCTGAATTGAGTGGTTCAATTCTGCTCCATGAAGTTATTCAGGAATTAAGGTTCTTTCCATTGATTGCAGTATTATCCTCCAGGACTGTCATCTTCTGTATGGCAGAGACAGGGTCAGCTGCCATCCCAGCTGATGATAAGGGGAAAGATAACATGGAAGCATACACATAGTCCTAAGACTTAGGTCCATAAGGGACACCTATCACATTAAATTCCGTGGAGAAAAGCAGTCCACTATGAAAAGGAGGCTGGAATATTCCATTTAGTCTTGCATGCAGGAATAAAAGGAGAGTATCTTTTGGTAGACAACTAATACTCTTCACTTCTTGGTTTGTGCTGTTTGTTGATCCTATTGAAGTTTCTTGATGATGTGCAGTCTTTTCTCTGTGAAAAGGATAAAATTGATACGGTTTCTGAATGGACCCTTAAATTGGAGGAATAATGCCACCTTTATTTTTCTGTAGACTGTGTTTTCCACCTGCCTATACTGGTGAAAAATAATAATCTTTTATTGGATAAAAGTCTCTCCATTCTTATTTTCTTCAACTTATTTGGTCTTGGGAAAATAGGACCAATATTAAAGCTCTCGTGATTTACCTACGCCTTGTGAATCTGTTTCTACTCAGTTTCACTTTGAAGGAAAAGAGTCAGATTCTACCTCTAATTCTGCAAGGAAAAATACATTCTTAGTAGATCAAAATACATTTTAATCTCCCCTTTTCCTGAATTAGGTTCAAAAAGCTTTGCTTACTAAATAGCTTATAAAGTGTCCCCTTTTGAAATAACCTATATAGATCACTTTGACAGGGAAGCTTACTAGGGAAATTAAACGAAGCTGCCTTTATTGTTAATGAATGATTCTTAAACTACAATTTAGTATTAGATACCCTATAGTTAAAAGTAAGAGAGTAATGTTTTTTCATGTAGGATAGCGATTATTTTCTGATTTTCTAATAGGACCAAACTTATGTTTTGATACAATACTGGGTTTTGTAGATCCAGAAAGCCTCTTCTCACCTGTTACTATACTCACTTACTAGCTGATGTCTGTTTCTCTACTAGAAATTCTTTATCTTGGCTTAAGGCTTTACCTGGCTAAAACCCAATTATCTATGAAAAAAGTAACCTTTTAAATTTTATAATCATTTTATGTTTTGTTCTGGTTGAATTTGTTGTTGAGGTTTTTGAAAATGAGCTAGCAGAATGCTTGAGGTGGCTGTGAGAGGGTCCTCTGACTATGGAAATGAACACAAAAAGATTTTTGTTTAAAAGATGAATTTAATTTGTGAATATTCTCTCCATTGTGGGTCACTTTGAGTTCTGGCTGACTTATGGAGGAAAAAATAGAGCTGTTTATGACCATTATAAAAATGTATTATGTGCAAAAGGTGTACATCATTCCCTGAATATTTTCGTTTTTATTTCAAATTAGAAAATTGCTGTTGTTCATTTAAATAAAGGACAGCATCATCGACAAAATCATCATGAATTGAAAATAGTAAAATTTAATTTTTACAAATCTATGCTAAACATTTTAATGGAAATATATTTTTTTCATTCATGGTAGTTTAATGAAAAAATGTAGTGGTGATAAATTCAAACAATAAGTAAAATAGAATTTAAGTTACATGTGTTAATAAGGATATTGATCTACTGTTGATATTCTGAAGCTATTAGCAATCAAATGTTATCATTAATTTTCAGCCCTTGAGCTACTACTTGGTTTTCTACTCACCAGTTCTACCTTTTTAAAAAATTGCAAACAACATGGCTGTATGAAGAGGGAAGAGCTTTACCCCTATTTGGATAAAAAACAGGTCCTGCTTGTAAGATTAGTTGAATGTTTAGGTCCTTGTAAGTTGTAAAGAATGAAGTTTAAAAATTTGCGTTAGGGATCGGTCGTGGTGGCTCACGCCTGTAATCCCAGCACTTTGGGAGGCGGAGGTGGGATGATCACGAGGTCAAGAGATCGAGACCATCCTGGCCAAAATGGGGAAACCCCATCTCTACTAAAAATACAAAAATTAACTGGGCGTGCTGGCGCACGCCTGTTGTCCCAGCTACTCAGTAGACTGAGGCAGTAGAATCGCTTCAACTGGGGATGCAGAAGCTGCAGTGAGCCGAGATCACACCACTGCACTCCAGTCTGGGCAACAGAGTGAGACTTCATCTCTTAAAAAAAAAAAAAAAAAAAATTGTGTTAGGTACATTTTTTTACACTTTAAATTCGATTTAATAAATTATCATGACTACCAGTAACTCTAATGCTGTGAATCCTTGAAATTTAATGTTTAGATTTAGATCTAATAGATAACTATATTGTCAACTCTGTAAACGCTTGGCCATTTTACTAATGTCGCTATTTTCTAGTGCTTGCATATAGTAGACAGTAAATAAATATTGAGTAGATGTCCAATAACTCTTTAATAGATTCATTTGTCATTTTAACTTGTAAGTAATTATTGATTCTTTTTCTTTAGGCTACAGGCTAAACAAGAGTCAAAGGTAAGTCAAATGAGCTGGAGAACAGAAGAGAGATTAGACAAGGGCAAGTGTGTATAAGGTGGTAAAGGAGTACCCTGAGATAAATGTAAATGGTGTGCAATAGAGGTTTAAAGGATAGAGTCTTGTACACAGTTTGGCAATTTAGGAAGGCCTCCCGTACGTTATGGCATTTGAGGTTGAACCTTGCAGGGTTTGTGTGGCTGAGTAGTGAACTGTGAGGATATTCATGGCAGAGAGCACAGTCCGTAAAGATTAGAGCTAATTCCGGTATTTTCCATCTCTGACCCTGTATAGTTATTTTACAGCACTTGCATCACACTATGTTTTAATTATTTTGTATGTTTTTGCCTCTCATGCCATCCACTAAATTATAAACTTCTTGAGAGCTATGTGTTAGTAAGTCCTGTATTTTCTCTAAGTTTATGAGTGCTCTATATACATTAATATTTTTTAAAAATTACTTTATATCTTTCAAGTTATCAAATATTTTATAGTTTTACTAATTACATTGAATCTAGTAATTAACAAATGAAATAGCTCCTTGAATATGGTGCACAATCAAGCATTTCTAAAACAGCAGTTTAGAGCTAAGGCACTGGAGTTAGAATTGCCATCTTTAAATTCTGGTTTAGCTATTGACTAACAGACCTTGACAATTTGTTAACCACAGTGGACTCAGTTTTCTTATCCATAAAATGGGATAATATTCACATATACCTAACAGAACTCTGTGGTAGATTATAGATTGCTATAAATACTTTGCTACTCTTCCTTTTGAAAGATGGAGTCTAATATTCATCCCTTTGAGTCTGGGCTGGCATATGTGACACTCTTAACCAATAAACTATAATGGAAGTGATACTGTGAGACTTTTGAGGCTAGATCATATGAAGCTCTGAAGCTTTTGCTGGTCTCTTTTTGAATGCTGCTCTTAAAAATCTTTCTGTTGGAGCCTTTAGCCGCCACATAAGAAGTGTGACTGTTCTGAACCTTTAGCCATTATATAAGAAGTTTGACTACTCAGACTCATGAGACATGGGATCTCTTGCCGGAGATCCATGCGTGGATTCTTTGGTTAACATTACCAGCTGAGCTAAACTTTTTGGCCATTCCAGGCAAGGCATGAGACACATGTGTTAAGCTTCCTGGTATCCTTTGTAACAGCCCATCCACCAGGTGAATGTGATCTACCAGCATCTAGTGATCTCATCTGACTTCATGTGTAGAATTAGTATCACCCATTCTAACCCAACTCAATTTCTTGACCCACTTTCATTAATCATAAAATAATGGTTGTTGTTTTAAGACACCAAGTTTTGGAGTAGTTTATTACATGGTAAAAAATAACTGGAACAGGCTATTAAGAAGATTAAGTCATTTACTGTATATAAAACAGCACAGTACTGGGCACATGGTATGTATTCTATAAAAGTTGTTGCTATTATGATATTATTATACCATAACCACAATTATAAAGTCTGCATTTGTGTGTGTCTGTGTGTGTATGTCGTGTTTGTGTTATTTGCAAGTACTGAGAAAATGAACTTGAAATGAAAGCCAGTAATATGCTGCACTTTCATATAAGAGAAGCTTTGAGTCATTTTTTTAAAGATAGGGTCTTGCTATGTTGCCTAAGCTGGGCTCAAACAATCCTCCCGCCTCAGCCTCCTGAGTAGCTGGAACTAAAGGTGCGTGGCACCATGCCTGGCTGCTTTAAGTAATCATTCTATAAATAATTCTTTTATTTATTTATTTTTCATTCATTCTTTTTTTTTCAAGATGGATTCTTGCGCTGTTGCCCAGGCTGGATTGCAGTGGCATGATCTCAGCTCACTGCAACCTCTGCCTCCCGGGTTTAAACAGTTCTCCTGCTTCAGTCTCCCAAGTATTGGGGACTACAGGCTTGCACTACCATGTCTGTCTAATTTTTGTATTTTTAGTAGAGACGGGGTTTCACCATGTTGGCGAGGCTGATCTTGAACTCCTGACCTTGTGATCCACCCCCTCGGCCTCCCATAGTACTGGGATTACAGGCGTGAGCCAGAATTGTTATCTTTCTCTGACTAAGAATTAAATAATAAGTTTTTCTTCTTCAGGTTTTTTCTTTCTTTTTTTTTTTTTGGTCTTAGTGCCTTCTCATGTCACTCTATATTGCCCACCTGAACAGGCCATCTGACTGGTCTTCACTACTTCCTTTGTTTCAATTACCATAAATTCTTAATGAACTCCAAATATTTACCTTTAGACCAACTTATTTTTGAATTTCAGATGTGAACATTCAACTGCTTACTGAAAATCCCCATCTTAATGTCCCACAGGCACCTCCAGACCAACAGAGTCAAAACTGAACCCCTTAGCTCTTTATCAAATTTCCTTTTTTTAATTCACTATCCATTATTTGTGTAAGTCAAAACCTAGGTTTTTACCAAGAAGTCTAGCTTAACATCACAAATCATATTGGCACATGTTCGTTAAAATTTGATCTGATCTAGGTAATTGAAAAGTTTAAGGCTTTCATAATGCAGCTTATGTATCATGATACTGAACTGTGTTTTATGAAGCAGTAATACATATAAATAATGCAGAAAATTTTATAAAGTACCTGATATTTGGGATATGCCAAGCAAACTACAAAAGTTTGGCACATCTTGGGATTTAAGCCTTTTCTGTCTATTATTTTTCCTGCTCTAGTTTATTGAAACTTGTGACTATAACCTTCCCATAGATTTTAATCTGAAGATATCAAACAACCTTATAGATTTAATTTGTCTGCATGTTTCTTAATGCTTCGAGACCCATGAAGTAATCAAGACCATTGCTTTTTCTAGTTGACACGTAGCACCTTTTGTCTCCTCTCCATAGCATTGTGAAGAAAGACATTTTATTCTACACTAGCTATTTATGTCCAGTCCCACAAGTACTCAAAATCTTGATATTTTAAATTACATTTAATCAGGTTGTTATATTGAATTATTTCCACTGTCCTAATGTCATTATGCTTCATATCATTTTAATTTATATTTAGGTACAATTTTTGTTTGTAATTTTTGATACTCTGATCTTTAATACCTGGAAACAATTTTAGCAAAAATTTATGTGGTTTACATTTGGGAAATGCTTTATCTTTCTGTTGAAGATTCACCATATATGCTAACATACTTAAACTCTGAAAAGTAAAAGCTTGTAGAAAATTACACTTGTTTAGCTTCTTTAATCCAGCAGTTCCCATGGAACGTAAAAAATGAGTAACATTTGTCATACTATTTACTATTTAGTTTGAGAGACCTACAACTTTAAAATTGATACTCAGCTTCATGAATACCTTTTCTACTTCAGGGACTGCATAAGAGAGGAAATCTTTCATTTGTAAACATTCTACTTTGTAGATAACATAGGAGTCTTTTTTCCCTTTTTTAAATGGCGTCCGTCATTGCTCACCATTGCTTCAGATGATTTCCAAAATTCCTTGCTAATCAGTTTTAGGTGGGCTTGCTTTCTGAAGGTGAGTTTCTGTCTTTCCCTTGTCCCCATCCTTACATTGCCAAGTCTGTGTGTCCTATTTCTTCTGCCTTTTTGCTTTCTTCCTTTCCTTTCTGACATTCTAGATTGTGTCTTGCTGATATTCTTTCAGCTTTGTAGAATATTATTATTTTTGTGCTACCACAATGATTTTTACAAGAAAACATACATTAAGGGATAGCTGTTTACCTCATGATGCTTCAGTTGACAAAGTATTTTGCATAGATTTCCTTTAGTCTGAAATCTCTGTACTTCAGATGAGTTCTATCCCCTGACTTTTCAGAAACACATCAGTTGTATTAAAATAAAGCATATCTGTAACATGCTTACAAGCATGTGCTAATGTAATGGCACTAAGAGAAGAATAGTATTTTGGCAGATAAATTTTTAATTATTTGCTTTAATAAAATCAGCTAAAACTCTATCTTCCACACAGCATAGAACATGTACTTCAGTTTTTAGGTCAGCTCCTGCAAGACAATTGACTGGCAAGGAAGTCAGTGCTCTTCGTTACATGGATACAACAATATCACAGAACTGTTAGAATAACTTAAACTTCTCTAATGAGCTTCAGAGCTTTAATGAGAAGATTTTCTATTCCTGTGTGATTAATATTGCTCTGTGATAGAAAGAGAACTATTTTTTTCTCAAAGGAGAGGTAGAGCAAGAGAGTTCAAGATAAATGATTAAGAGGAAGTTAAGAAGTGGTTAATCCCTTATAGCCCAAAGGGGCTTAATTATTGATAACTAGTAACTGCCACCAGCATAGGTAGGCCCTCCAAATAATCATTATAGCCTGGAATAAAGTAGCAAAAACTATTTTTAAATTACCAGCATTTAAACCATTTATTTTCGGAATTCAGTCTATCAAGCAATTAGCATAGACTGGCTGTAAAATTATGTGAGCTTGTGAACCTATGTTATAAGTTTAGAGACTTATGATTCACAGTTGATCTTGAATATTTTTTCTATAAAAATAGTCACAGTAAATCACTAAGTCAAAATGGGCAAACTGGTTCAATGTGTGTGTATGTGTGTGTGTGGGTACACAGCTGTGTGTGTTTGTGTGTGTAGGTGTATAGCTGTGTGTGTCCACACACATTTTGAAAATCAACAGGTTAGCAGAAACAGGATGATGAAGGAAGAATGAGGAAAAGAGACAGTTATAAAGAGTCATTGATAATAAGCAAAACATTCTTAGGATACGTGGGTGTATGTAGTCAGTGGCCTTTTTGTACAAATACATCTTTTTTGACATGTTAGTTTCCATCGACATCAACTGAAGCAGATTTCAGAATGTCAAGGAGAAGTAGCGAGAAGTAAAAGTGACTGTAAAAGTAATGGAAGTAAAAGCAGTGAAGATGTCAAGCAGTTTGTGAAAGAAGTAAAATAGAAGTAGATGGTCATCACATTTAAATAAATGTTAGTCATGCACTTTGAACAGACACTGGTTAAAGACATTTAAAAATAGAATGGATTTTAAATTTTAATCGGGGAAGCTGATTGTAAAGAAGAAGGAGTAAAATCAAATACCAGAATAAAAATACTAGAGAGGGAAACTATTTCGTTATTGGCTTCAGCTATCTCCAAATGTGTGTTTAGGTTTCAACTTCAGCAGGAGACATCAAATTTATTCAGAAGAGCTAAATTGATGATGTCATAATACAGCTATGCTTTTTGAAGCATATTGGGAAAGACATTCTCCTGTGTGTAGTCTTTTCACTCCCACTGGGCCACATAAGAATGGGCATGGAACCCTTCCTTACCAGTAGGTAAGGGGGCCCACACAGAAAGTACCGGGCTTATGGCCTTATGTGGGAATATGTTTTGCTGTTTCAGACTCAATGTGTAGTTCTTTGTTCTGCTTAAGTGGGTGTTTCAATAGTCCTCAGGCATGTCCTCTCTCCACAATTTTTTTTCAGATACCGTAGAGGAGAGGTCGAGTTCCCTCCACTGCAGCACCAAGTGGAGTATATAAAGCCACACTGCTGTGGCATAGTCCACTAACTGTGAGAGACAGATGCATTACAAGGGGATGGATTTAGTGCACTCTTTCCTCTCTTACTGTGAGTAGATGCTGCACTTCTTGAGCCTGGTGTGTGTGTGTTGTCTTTTCTCAGTGACCTTGAATCATACAGTTTTTTTTCCCCCCTAGGTGGCATTTACCTGCCTTTTAACAATATTCTGTCCTGCAGCACAGCCTGAACACCCAGTAAATGATGAAACAAAACTTCTTCCCAAGCCTCAATGAGGATTGTGCCATGGTTTAGAGGTAGGAGAATTTCAAGCCATTAATCGTCTATCAATACTGAATACCACCGAGAATGGCTTCTTCAGGTCTATCGGCTTAATACTGCTTTTGTGTTATTCTTAGGCCAAAGAACAATGGTCAACCCAGCAATAAACTCAGTTTGGCTGATTTGGGCCTTTAGTCTAACCTCAGTTGGACCACACAGACATTCTTCTCTTCAATTTCAGGGTCTTTCCTTCAGGAATTCTGTCAGGAATAAGCAGCAAGTTTCCTACTGCTCTGGGTCCTCCTTAGACTCCTCTTATCTCCACATCCTGTCTTAAACTCCACCTTCCTTCTATTATTTTTTTCACATTTGACATTGATACTCATTAAAACTAGAATCTGAATTGTTACCACCAATGATATTGTTTACCTCTTTTTTTTGCACCAGAGAGCTTAATATTTAAAATGTTCTGTAAGATATGGGAATGGTATACTGTCTTTCTAGTGTGGCAAAAGAAGAGAGAGTAACAAATTATTGTGTTCATATTAAGATTATTTGAATATAAATATTTTGCCAAATTTGTATTTAAGTGTCCATGCTATTTTTAATAATTGGATTGATATAAATAGATCTTAAGAAATAGCAAAAGAAAGAAACCCATTTTGTCAAATTGGAGTCAGGGAGGCATGGAAATTCTCTTCATTTTAAGTGCTCCTAAATTCCTGCTTATTCTGTGGTTGAATTTATATCAATAAAGAGAATTGGAGATTAAGGCAATTAATCAGAAATTTTAGTTAAAAAAGGAATAGAAAAAAAAGTAAAGTTTCCTATAGAATTCTAGGGTTTGACATTCACACAGTTATTTCATTAGGTAGAATGGTAAGTCTTTGCTCTTATGAAAAGATTGTTCCCTAATTGTCATTGAGCATAAAGTAAAATGAAGATAGATTATAAAAATATCCTTATTGATTAAAAGTTTAAAATTGCCAGTGTCCCAAGAAATATGCCTGAATTCAAGGTTATCTTATTGTAAAGAATATCTTATTGCAGTTTGTTTTTTTTTTTCCTTATTGTAAATAAAGGGTCAACCAACAGCTAATAACTCACAACTGCATCTTTTCTTGTTAGAACATGTCGCCCAGCACTTTTTGATTAGATGTTCTCAGATAATAGCTGGGGCAGATTGACCAAAGGAGAGCAATTTTTTTTTTAATCAGGATAACATAATAATTCCATCACAAACTTTAGATAGGGCTATGGATATCACCAATTTTCTTTTTTTGTCTATTAATAGTGCTGTATCTTTAGTGGAATTGAAGACATGACCTTCTGCAGGTTTCAATACTTTATAAAAGGCCATAGCAATGCCTTTAAAATCAGATCTATTAACTGTTCTACAGAGAAGCCAGTTTTCTAGTAACTTGGCCATAACTTAAAGACAGGGACCCTGAAAACATCAAGCATTTGCCTGAAATATGAATTACCTCCCTGACTAAATTCAGTAATCTTGGCTCTTCTTCTCTGCATGTAAGTCATTTTGTGTACATCAGTTTCTTCACCTATGCAAGAAGAGAGTTGTCCAGCATGTCCTGAGGTTCTTTCAGTTCTAAGTTCTTTGTATAATTTGATTGGAGCCCAAGAGATGTCCTAAATCTGACTGGCATGCAGTAAATGTTTGTTGATTATGAAAAAATATTTGAGTTCCAAATGGGTTGTAAAATATCTCGTGTGGACATACTGTAGCAACTTAATACTTATAATTTTGGGAGCAGAATAAATGTAATTAAATCACAAATGCAAATGAATTCTCTGTTTATTTAAGTCAAAGAGAAATAGTTGTCTAAAAACAATATGACCCATATACTGGTTGAAAATAGTAAACATTAGTTTTTTATGAAGTGCAAAGTAAGTGGTTCACATATATTAAATGTAATGAATGTATTAAAAAAGATTTTCACCTAGTTGAACTGCATTTACACTTCATGAATATCACTAGTGTAGTCATTATTTTAAAAACGTAGAGCTGGAGAAATAAACATTTAGACAGGTAAGAACAGACTGAAGTTTTAAATTTTATTTTTAACAGTCATTCTAAAAGAATTGTTTATCATTATATATTGGTATGACTGTTAAAGGTTGAAACAAAAACATGGAAGTATGCTTTTAATTGACCATTGTTATACAGAGAGAGTGAATTAAAACATTTTTATGCATATGAAGTTACTAATAATTTTTTGAGCACATACAGTGTTCTACATACTTACCTATATGTATTCTTTAATCCTCATAACAGCCCCATGAACTATCTACTCTTATTATCATCATTCGATCTTGCAGGTGAGGAAACTGAGGTCTAGAAAAGTCCATTAATTTGACTAAAGGCGCACAGTTAATACATGGTAGAGCCAAGGCTTAAACCCTGGCATTCTGGTTTTATGCTTTTAACCAACTGCTTATTATTGGTATCTTATTGTGATGATTTTGGAAAACACTACTAATTTATTTGGAATGTATTAATAGTCTTTATTTATTTACAAGTTTAATAAAGAAAAAGTTAACCTTTCCATATGTTCAAACAAGATGCATAATTTTGTCATTTATCATCTGCAATTTCTATTTCTTTATGCTTTGTGAAATGAAAAGCTGTAATATCAACTTTTTGTTTGTTTCAATCATTTGTATGACTTGCTAGCCTTTGTTTTATTAAATAGAATGTATCAATGCTTTTTTTGCATTTAGTATTTAATATGTAGGGAACCCATTTCTGATGAATTGCCGTGAGTTGAGAAATACTCTGTATGTACTCCATGAAATTATAAGTAGCCAATACATGTCTCTATACATTCCTGTAGGAGGCCTTCTTTTTTTCTATTAGAATTATTTTAACTCAAAATATATTTCGTTTAGAAATGATTGAATCATCTGTTTTATTCAAGCAATTGACATTGAATCACATTAATATTACTTCATTTTTTTTATTCAGAGGTTTTAAACATCTCTCCCTTTTACTGCTTCTAAAAACTTAACACTGACAATTTTTATATGTCTTGAGATATAAAATATAATAAATTATAATCAAATCAAGAATAATAATGAAATGAAAGGAAGAAAGTTGAGGAAAAAATCAGTCAAATAGTGTACAATAGTTTCTTCTTTAATTGAAGGAAATAACTGCTTGTTTACAATATAATCTATCTATTCCAAGACCTTTTAAGAACAATTTCTGTTGCAAAGTGAGAACATTTGAAGTTCCATTTGAAAAATGCAGTACTTCTGCCCTGGTGAAGATAGATAAGCTTCTGGGATTCTTGGTATGGAAAAGATAAGCCTGCTGCTGCTGCTGCTGCTGCTGCTGCTGCTGCTGCTGCAAAAAGAAAAAAAAAGTCTTAAAAATATGTTAGTAGACACACATTAGCAGGAAAACAGTTCCCTAGGGCTGAAAAAACAAGCATCTGCCATTGATTTTGTACTCAATTGAACTTCAGAGAGTCACACTGTTACATTATTAGATGAGGAATTACATGGGTTTTAGTGAATTCTTAATGAAACCAATATTTTAAAAATTAAAATATTTTGATTTGTTTAATCTTAAACTTAAGTTGTATCATGTTAGTCTCATCCAAACTCATTCAAAATGTATATGGGATTGTTTCATGAAATTTTGATTTTTTTTTTTTGAAAATTTTGCATTTCAGAGTTGTAAATCTAGCTTATCTGAACTCTAGAAGTCATATTGCTCAGTATTCCTGAAAGTAATGAAAAAAGTTATCTAGAAAAGTACATATCAGTTAGCATGTTTGTGAAGCAAGTGATTGAAAATTTATTATCTTCCAGAGATGGCATCAAGGTGAGCTGATTCAGCAGCTTAACCTTGTCATCGAGTATTCCAGTTCTTTCAGTCTCTCTACTCTGCTGCCTACAACAACAGTTTATACAAAGGCTGGTTTCTTTGACATGTGAGATGGCTTTGTGTTTGCCCAGTGTGTGTGTGTGTGTGTGGGGGGGGGCGGGGGAGGGCTTCTCATGTGCATAGGTGAATTAATTTGGAGTTATTTAGGAAAAGGAAGAGCAAAAAGGAAGAAAGAATACTGGGTGATCATCAATGCCCAACACAGGAAAGAGTGTAAGTAAATGAAACCTCTGTTTTTCAATGATAAATTTTGTGTGTAGCATGTTCCAGTAAAGTTTGGCTCCACTGAACTTGTATTACTTTGTAAAATATTCAAAGTCATATTGAAAAAATTTCAAATGTTCTCTATTACTTCCCTTTTGGAATTCAGTTATGACCCCTTAACATAGAGGCTCTAAATTCTTAATTATGTAGATATGAAATGGACTTTTAAATGGAATTTAATTGTATACATTTGTGAGCTTTTATTGCATTCATTTCTTATGGCAGAGATTGCTCCTTATTCTCACAATCTTTATCTGGGCCATGGCTGTTCTGCATATAGACTACTTGGCAGCCTCCCTTAGAACTAGGTGTAGCCATATGATCAAGGTCTATTCATGGGAGTATAAATGAAAGTAATGTGTACAACTTCCAGCTAATGCTTTCAAAGGAAAGGTGTGACACTTTAGGGTTGGTAGAAAGAAACAACAACAAGGAGCCTAGATACCTGGTAATTTTTAAACAGAAGACCTACTCTGTCAGCCTACATAATTATGTCTATCTTGTATAAGCCATTTTAAATTTAGGCTGAACTTATATCCTAATGCAGTAGATAACCAATATCAATAAATTATCTAGAAATAAAGCATGATTTTCTGTTGTTTTTTGATTTTCTTTTAGATGAAGTCTTGCTGTGTTGCCCAGTCTGGAGTACAGTGGTACGATCATAACTCACTGAAGTCTCAAATTTCTGGGCTCAATCAATCCTCCCGCTTAACCTCCCAAGTAGCTGGGACAACAGGTGCATGCCACTATGCATTGCTATTTTTTAAAAAATTGTAGAGATGGGGTCTCACTACATTGCTCAGGCTAGTCTTGAACTCCTGGCCTCAAGCAATTTTTCCATCTTGACCTCCAAAAGCGCTGAGATTACAGATGTGAGACACCACCAGGCCTGATTTTTTTTTTTTAAACTAGAAATTGGATTACAATCCTTCTGAGTACAATATAAAATACATTGCTTGTTGTTGAATATTTTTAGGAAGGGAGTAGCATCATATGGAGCTTCCAATATTGTTATTTTGATTTTGTAGTTTTTTAATACACACAGAAGACTTAACTGTTTTGAATGAATTTACCCATTGCAAGCAATTAACATCCTATCACTTCACTTAAAATAATCAAACAATTTGTGTATATATATATATACAGCATACATTTCTATTGTTTACTGTCTCAAAGCATTTTAACAAGCCATTGTGCTGGAAGAGTTAATTAGATCTGAAAACTGGTGTAATAAAAACAATAAAAAGCTATAAGAATTCATTAAAATAGAACACCAAAATAATAGAACCTAAGGTTTCTAAAGTTGTATTTGACTAGTCAAGTGTTCCTTAATAACTGGATGCATCAGAATACATTGTTCATTATAATATTAAAGGAATGTAATGAAATGAAAATTGAAGCAATAGAGAATTCAGTATGCACAATTATTTTAAATTTAAAATCTTACCCATAATGAACATAGCTAAAAACATAAAAGACAAATGATAGAGAAATTAAAAGCAATTATCAAAGGAATTCTCCGCAGAAATTTCTGATTTAAATTAAAGCCTATGATTAATAATCTCCGGCCTCTTTGTCCTTCTCCCTTCTTCCCACAATTCCTTACTGCCTCAGCACCTTGTAACTTAAATTTCTTTTCTTTAAAGATGATAATACTATGCTTGATCCATGGCAGGAATGAACATATCAACTTCACATTTTATCAACTTCCCATCTTTCTGGTTCATGTCTTTGTAAGGCCTAATGCTTAACTTGTAAAAGAAGAAAGATGGAAATACTATTGAATAAGGACCATTAAAAGTGGAATTATTTTTCACCTACATAACTGTTAATTTTTTAAATAAAAAAGAGGACCATTTCAGATTTTTTTTTTAAATTGAGGCTTGAAGTGGAGTACAGTGTATTTTGGTGGCCAGGCCTGGATTGCGATTATCTAGGTACCCTAAGTAGTAAAAAGATTATGGTGCCTCATCCTCAGATAATAAATGTGATGCATTTATTTGTTCAATCAAAATCTGTTTTTGAATATTTGCTCAGGCACTCTTCTAGGCATTGAAGACACAACAGTTAACACAATGACTTGTTCTTATTATTTTCACATTCCAATGATTTAAATCAGTAGTAGTGATAAAACAAATGTGGCAATTAAAAAAAGCCATATTTTAGTTGATTAAATCCTTCTTGCTTTTTTGGGAAATATCAAATTTCTTCTTCTTCTTTTTTTTCTTTTTTTTTTTTTTTTTTGAGACGAAGTCTCGCTCTGCCCCCCAGGCTGGAGTGCAGTGGCTCGATCTCTGCTCACTGCAAGCTCCACCTCCCGGGTTCACGCCATTCTCCTGCCTCAGCCTCCCGAGTAACTGGGACTACAGGCGCCTGCCACCACGCCCGGCTAATTTTTTGTATTTTTAGTAGAGACGGGTTTCACCGTGTTAGTCAGGATGGTCTCGATCTTCTGACCTCGTGATCCACCCGCCTCGGCCTCCCAAAGTGCTGGGATTACAACGCGTGAGCCACCGTGCCCAGCCAGTTATTTTTCTTTTAAAGTGGAAACTCTTCAGCTAATATCTTTGTTTTCCCTTTTTGAAGAAACTGTAACTTCATGAGATCTAAACTGAACAACTTGAACAAAACACTAGGGAAACTTGAATTGGTTTTAAAAGTTAAAACCATTAATTGTGTTTTACTGGAGGATGCTGCCAATTCCCTTGTCTGAGATTCTTTATTCTTATGTTTATATAATGCAGTGCATACTTTAGGGGGACATATCCCATATTTTTTTCAATTTAATATCTGATATGTACAAAAGAATATATGTAATGTATGGTCAAATTATTAACCATAAGAACAAAAGAAACAACAAGAATGCAGCATATTAGCCTAAACACTACATCATTAACAATATTTTTATTTGAATTATTTAAAGAAAAAATAACCTTTTTTGTCGGAGACAATTTTTCAGGTTATATGACCTACCCCCAACTTACTTTCTCTCTTTTCTCTCTTTCCTTTCTTTCTTTTCTTTCTTTCTTTCTTTCTTCTTTCTTTTCTTCTTTCTTTCTTTCCTTTCTATCTCTTTCTTTCTTTCTTTCTTCGTTTTTCTTTATTTTCTTTCTTCTTTCTTTCTTTCCTCCTTTCTTTCTTCTCTCTCTTATCTTTCTCCTCTCCTCCTTCTCCTCCTCTCCTTCCTTCCTTCCTTCCTTCCTTCTCTTTTTCTCTCTTCCTTTTCTTTTCCTTTTCCTTCCTTTTTTTTATTTTCTCTTCTTTTTTTCAGATCTCACTCCAATTGCCCAGGCTGGAGTGCACTTGCATGATCATGTCTCACTGCAGCTTTAACCTCCCTGGCTCAAATGATCCTCCCACCTCAGCCTCCCAAGTAGCTGGGACTGTAGTAGTGTGCGCTCTGCCTGGCTAATGTTTTAAAATTTTTGCAAAATTTCTCGCTGTGTTGCCTCCTTCTTATATTTTATCTGATGTCCATACAATATTAGACTAGGCTAGAGTGTTGCCTTAAGGAATATTTCATTTTCTACTTTTTAAAATGCTAAAAGTAAGTTTTATTCTGAAATAAGTCTGAGTGTGTAGAAAAGTTGCAAGACCAGTATAAATGACGTTTAATTTAAACCACTTAAAGTGAATGATCAATGCTATGCCCCATCATTCCCAAATACTTCATTCTGTAACCCTTACAAAGACATTCTTCTACCAATACAGTAATGAAAATTTTAAAAAAAACATTGAAACATTGCTATCATCTAATTTGTAGTTCCAATTAATTTTTTTGCCAATGTCAGTAACAAAAAGTTCGATGACAGATCCTATATTTTATTTAACTATCACTTTAAAAAATTAAATAGTTTTTAGGTAGTTTTAGCCTCACAGCAAAATTGAACACAATGTACAGAATTCTCAAGTACCTTCATCCTCCCCCAATAATCTCCTGTGCTACAACTGTTGAGATCCTGCAACACAGTGATGCGTTTGTTACAATCGATACCTGCATTGATACATCATTATCACTCAAAGTCCATAGTCCATCTTAAAGTTCACTCTTGGTGCTGTGAAATCTATGATATTTGACAAATGTGTAATATCATACAGAATAGCTTCACTGCCCACAAAAATCTGTTCTCCACCTATTCCTCCTTCCCTCCCACCTAATCCCTGGCACCCACTGATCTTTTTCCTGTCTCCACAGTTTTGGCTTGTCCAGAATGTTACTTAGTTTGAATTATATAGTATGTAGCCATTTCAGAATGGCTTTTTTCCCCTTAGTAATATGTATTTAAGTATCCTCCATGTCTTTTCATGGTTTGATAGCTCATTTCTTTTTAGTGTTGAATAATATTCCATTGTCTGCATGCACTCTAGTTTATATATTGATTCATCCACTAAAGGACATCTTGATTGCCTCCTAGTTTTGTCAATTATGAATGAAGCGGCTGTAATCTGTGCTCAAGATTTTGTGTATACATGCATTTCCAACTCATTTGGATAGACACAAAGGAGTGCAATTGCTGAATCATATGGTAAGAGTATGTTTAATTTTGTGAGAAACTGCCAAGCTGTCTTCCAAAGTGGCTGTATGATTTTACATTCTCACCAGCAACAAATGAGAATTCCTCTTGCTCTTTGTTCTCACCAACATTTGTGTTGTTGGTATTTTGGATTTTCACCATTCTAATAGATGTGTAGTGGTATCTCACTGGTGTTTTAATTTGCAATTCCCTAATAATGTATCATTTCATATGATTATTTTCCACCTATATCTTCTTTGGTTAGGTGTCTGTTCAGGTCTTTTGCCCATTTTTTAAAATTAGGGTTTTTGTTTTCTTACTATTGAGCTTTGGGTAACCACCCTTTACCAAATAAGTCTTTTGCAAACATTTTCTCCCAGTCTGTGGCTTGTCTTCTCACTCTGCTGACATTGTCTTCTTCACAACAGATTCTTTTAATTTTAATGAGATGCAGTTTATTTATTATTTCCTTCATAAAAATCACACTCTTGCTTTTGTATCTAAAAAGTTATTACCACACCCAAAGTCATCTGGATTTTCTTCTATGTTTTCTTCTAGGGTTTTATAGTTTTGTATTTTACAACTTAGGTCTGTGATCCATTTGGAGTTAATTTTTGTAAAGAGTATAATGTCTGTGTTTAGATTTATTTGTTTTTGACATGTGAATGTCCAGTTTGTGCCCATACCATTTGTTTTAAACCTATCTTCTTTTCATTGTGTTACCTTTGCCTCTTTGTCAAAGATCAGTTGACTTCATTTATATAGGCCTGTTTCTGGGCTTTCTATTCTATTCTCTTGGTCTGTTTGCCTCTTTTTTTCCAATACCATACTGTCTGGATCACAATAACTGTATCGTAAGTCTGGAAGTTAGGTAGTGTTAATCTTCCAGTTTTGTTCCTTTTTTTTTGGATTGTGTTGCCTCTTCTGGAGCCTTTATTTCTCCATATAAACCTTAGAATCAGTTTGTTGATATTCACAAAATACCTTTCCGGTATTTCAATTAAGATTGCATTTAATGTACAGATAATTTTGAGAACTGGAATCTTGACAATATTGATGCTTCTATTCATAAACATCTAACATCTCTCCATTTATTTAGTTCTCCTTTGATTTCTTTCATCAGAGATTTATAGTTTCCCTTTATATAGATATTGTACAAGCTGTGTTGGATTTACTGAAGAATTTCATTTTTTGGTGCTAATATAAATGATATTGCAATTCTAATTTACAATTCCATTTGTTCATTGCTGGTATCATATGTAATTTTTTAATCTTCTTCAAACTCAAACAGTCTCTCAGTCTTCCCTAGACTTTCATAACTTCTACATTTTGAAAATTTTATGCCAATTATTTAATAGAATGTCTCTAAATTTAGGTTTGTCTGATTTTTCAATATAATTGGATTCAGGTTATGCATTTTTGATAGATTAGAATGGTGCTGTGTTATTCTTATTGTACAGATCTGTTGGGTTGAGTGGGCTGAGTTAAATCATTCCTTTTTGGCCTCTCTTAATACTGAAGCCAAATGAAAGTTGGCCTGGAGTAATCAGAAGACTTGTCTTGGCTGGATGTACAAGGCGCTCACTGACATATACAGATCTAAAGTTGAGCTCACCTGGGGCTGCCAGAGGTCTTCAACCATAGCCTCTCCACGTAATTTAAGCTCCTTATATCATGTGACTAAATTCTGAGACAGAGGAATAAAGAAGAGAGAAAGGAAGAGCAAGAGAGAGAAAGGGAGTTCCGAGTGTCCATTCCAAGAAATCGAGGTGGAAACTGCAAGGCTTCTTATACCAGAGCATTACTTCTTGTACCAGAACATTACTTCCAGTGTATTCTATCTGTAAAGCAACTTACATTTAGTTCACATCTTGATGTGAGAAATAGCATTGTGTACAGGGAAAAAGAACTTGATAGCTATTTTTGTAGACTAACTGATAAAGATGTTTCTGGGCTGAGTTAATAATGCTATGCTGGCTATTTATTTCTGATTTTCTAGTTCTTTCATTTCTTCAATATTTATTAGTTAGCATTTGTGTTAGTTGGGGTTCCCTAGAGAAGCAGAACCAATAGGATATATCTATATCTATACCTATGTCCCATACAGATACACACACACACACACACACACACACACATATCCAATCCACACACGCATGTACATTCAATCTGTTGATAGCCTGACTAGAACAATAGGCAAAGGCAAGGGGAAATTTGTATCTCTACCTGACTGCTTCAGCTGAAATATCAGTCTTTTCCTGCCCTACGCTGGAACCAACATCATGAGCCCTCTGGTTCCCAAAACTGTAACACTAACTTTCCTCTTTCCTGGGTCTCCAGCTTTCAGATGGTGGAATCATGAGACTTCTCAGCCCCCTTAACCATGTGAGCCAATGCCTTTTAACAAATATCCTACAAACATATATATAAATATATACATACAAATATAATATCATACAAATATATATATATTTATATGTATATATGTAATTCCATTTAAGAACATTTAAAGCTATTTACATGTAAAGAAAGGAAAAATAATATAAATACGTGTTTTCATCTGAAATAAATGTCAGACACTGTCTTTGTTTAAATAAATAGTCCTTTTAAACTTTGGGCAATGCTGCCAATTACATTAACTTACAATATCACTTCAATTGCATCACCAGAGTAAAATCTTAGAGTATTATTTTTATCTAATAAATTAATAACATTCACATGGCTTTATTGTGCTGTTATTTCTACTTAAAATGTAATTCCAAAATTCATAGTTAATTTTAAGGTGGATTAATTCTAAGCCGAAGCAATCAATAAATAATCTTTGGTTATTTGAAATTTATCTTCTTAGAAATTAAAATGAGTATTGACAGAAAAAGCAGAAACACATGGTCACCACACAATAGTTTTTACTTATGTTATTCTTGGCTACGTGTAAATGTACTTGTTCTTCATTCAAATTATGATGGTAAAATCATTCCTGTAAAAACAATATTTTAATACATGCTTTCTAAGTTTGATTAGACACATATTTTTGAATTAGGGAAATTTATTATGGCATATATATTTTTTTCTTTTTTTTGAGATGGAGTTTTGCTCTTGTTGCCCAGGCTGCAGTGCAATGGCACGACTTTGGTTCACTGCAACCTCTGCCTCCCGGGTTCAATAAATTCTCCTGCTTAAGCCTCCAGAGTAGCTGGGATTACAGCATGCACCACCACACCCGGCTAAATTTTTGTTGGTCAGACTGATCTCGAACTCCCGACCTCAGTTGATCCTCCCGCCTCAGTCTCCCAAAGTGCTGGGATTACACGTGTGAGCCACCGCACCTGGCCTATTATGGCATATATTAAGGAGTCCTTGGAAAGAGTAGCTCCAGCCAGCTCCAGGGTTGGCTCATAAATTGCATCTAAAATATCATCGAGGACCCAGACTCTTCCTCCCATTTAGTTCTCTTGTCTTTGGATGTAACTACGTTTCTCAGACGTGTTTCCTTTAGGATGGCAGGATGGTTTCCACTGTTTCAAGTACGGTTTCCACTGTTCCAAGTGTCACATCTAGACATCACAATGCATTTTCTTTGTATTTTTTATTTAAGTCACCATTTTCAGATGTCCTGTAATTTTATCTATACTCTCATATAAAACACAACCAAAGTCCAGATATAGAATATTTTCATCAGTCCAAAGTGATTAACTTTGTTGTTAATCATTTTCCCAAAGTATCAAGCCCTGACAACCGCTATAATTTTGTCCCTATACTTTTCTTTCCCAGAATTTCATATAATGGAATCATGTTGCATATGGTCTTTTGTTTAGTTTGTATCTTTCAAGGATTCCATTTTTCCATTGTCAAACTTACCTGTATTTATGTCTCCTCTTTCATTGCTGCTGTTAGTAATTTGTCCTCTCGCTCTCTCTCTATTTTCTTCTCCCTCTTAAGAGTAGTTACGTCTTTATCAATTGTATAAACTTATTCAAAGATCTTTTTTTGGTTCATTTTTTCATATTGTTTTATATATTCTACTTAACTGATTTCTGATCATGTTGATAGTATTCCCTTCTGCCTATGTTGAATTCAATTTGTTCTTATTTTATTGTTTTTATAAGGAGACACTTTGATTATATATTTGAAATTCTTATTTTCTTATAAAATCATTTAACACTCTAAAAACTTTCCCTAAACATTCTCTTAACTTCATCACACAAATGTTGATATGTTGTATTTTTGTTTCCATGTATTTAAAAATATTTTCTTTGTCTTGTGTTTTTACGGATTATTTAAAAATGCTATTTAATTTTCAAATATTTGTGGATATTTAATGGTATACTTTTGTTATTTATCTTCATCTTGATTTTTGTGAATTTAGAACATATTTTGTATGTTTTCAATTCTGTTAAATTTGTTGAGACTTGTTTTATAGTCCACAATATATTCTACCTTAGTAGATTTCCATGTGCACTTAGTAGAGTTCCACGTGCACTTGAATCTCAATTAAATCCAGGTTCTAATATTGTTGTTCCAGTCTTCTATATCCTAGTTAATTTTCTGTCTGCTTATGTTATCTATCACTTAGAGAGGAGTATTGATGTTTTCCTGTGGATGTTTTGTATTCTTTCAGTTTTACAGTCGTCGTTAAAAAAATGTGTATCAAAGTTCTGCTTTGTGTGCATACACTGTTAAATTTGTCATTTTTTGTTGAATTAATCCCTTTATCATCATGTAATGTCTTTATTTATCCCCTAAAATAGTATTTGTTCAGAGGTCTACATTTCTGGTAAAATGTAGTAACTCATTTCATTTGGTAGTGTTTGCATGATATATATTTTCCATATTTTATTTATCTTTTGTATTTTTTAGTATCAATTGTGTATATATTGGCTCTGATCTTTATTATTTCTTTCCCTCCACTAATTTTGGGTTTGGTCTCTTCTTGCTTTTTTAGTTCCTTGAGGTGCATCATTAGGTTGTTTGTTTGAAATCTTTCTAGTTTTTTTGATGAAGGCTTTTATTGCTATAAACTTGCCTCATAGTACTCCTTTTGCTATGTCTGAGGGCTTTCAGTATGTAATGTTTCTATTTTCATTTGTGTTAAGGTATTTTAAAAATTAATGTTGTTCAATTTCTATGTATTTGTACAGTTTTGAATGTTCCTCTTGTTATTGATTGTATTAGTCCATTTTCACTGCTATAAAGAAATACTTGTGACTGGGTAGTTTATAAATAAAAGAAGTTGAATTGGTTCACCATTCCATGGTCTGTACAGGTAGCATGGCTGGGGAGGCCTTAGGAACCTTTCAGTTATGGCAGAAGGCAATGGTGAAGCAGGCACGTTTTCATATGGCTGGAGCAGGAGAGAGAGATAAGGGGAGGTGCTACACGCTTTTAAAGAACCAGATCTCCTGAGAACTCATATCACTACCATAAGAACAGCAAAGTGGAAATCCACCCCCATGATCCAGTCACCTCCCATCAGGCCCCTTCTCCAGCATTGGGGATATAACAATTTGACATGAGATTTGGGTGGGGACACAAATTCAAACCATATCATTGACGTTTAGTTTTATTCCATTGTGCTCAGATAAGAAAGTTGATATGATTTTGATTTTTAAAATTTTTTTGAGGTTTACTTTGTGTTTTAACATATGGTTTATCCTGGAGAATATTGCAGGCATCAATGAAAGAATGTGTATTCTATAGCTGTTGGGTGAAATGTTCTGTAATTGTCTGTTGGGTCCGTTTGTTCTCTGATGTAGTTTAAATATGGTGCTTCAACTAAAGAGCTTCTGCACAGCAAAAGAAACAGGCAACCTACAGAATGGGAGAAAATTTTTGCAATCTACTCATCTGACAAAGGGCTAATATCCAGAACCAACAAAGAACTCACACAAATTTACAACAAAAAAGCAAATAACTCCATCAAAAAGTGGGCAAAGGATATGAACAGACACTTCTTAAAAGAAGACATTCATATAGCCAACAGACACATGAAAAAATGCTCATCATCACTCGCCATCAGAGAAATGCAAATCAAAACCACAATGAGATACCATCTCACACCAGTTAGAATGGCAATCATTAAAAAATCAGGAAACAACAGGTGCTGGAGAGGATGTGGAGAAATAGGAACAGTTTTACACTGTTGGTGGGACTGTAAACTAGTTCAACCATTGTGGAAAACAGTGTGGCGATTCCTCAAGGATCTAGAACTAGAAATACCATTTGATCCAGCCATCCCATTACTGGGTATACACCCAAAGGATTATAAGTCATGCTGCTATAAAGACACATGCACACGTATGTTAATTGCGGCACTATTCACAATAGCAAAGACTTGGAATCAACCCAAATGTCCATCAATGACAGACTGGATTAAGAAAATGTGGCATGTATACACTATGGAATACTATGCAGCCATAAAAAAGGATGAGTTTGTGTCCTTTGTAGGGACATGGATGCAGCTAGAAACCATCATTCTCAGCAAACTATCGCAAGAACAGAAAACCAAACACTGCATGTTCTCACTCATAGGTGGGAACTGAACAATGCGATCACTTGGACACAGGAAGGGGAACATCACACACCAGGACCTATTGTGGGGAGGGGACAGTGGGGAGGGATTGCATTAGGAGATATACGTAATGTAAATGACGAGTTAATGGGTACAGCACACCAACATGGCACATGTATACATATGTAAGAAACGTGCACATTGTGCACATGTACCCTAGAACTTAAAGTATAATAATAAAAAAAAGAAAAAAAATATGATGTTTCTTTGTTGATTTTCTGTCTGGATGATCTGTCCAATGCTGACAGTGGGATGGTGAAGTCCCCAACTATTATTGTTTTGGGTCATCTTTCTCTTTAGATCTAATAATACTCGCTTTATATATTTGGGCACTCTTGTATTGGGTGCATACACATTTACAATTGTTATATTTTCTTGCTGAATTGATCTCATTTTTATATAATGTCTTTGTCTCTTTTTACAGCTTTTAACTTGAAATCTGTTTTGTTTGATATAAAAATGGCTGCTTCTGCTGGTTTTTGGTTTACATTTACCTGGAAAATCATTTTCTAGTTGGGTCTCTTTCTTTTTTTGGAAGAAGAGCTACAATAATTTTATTGCATCTACATAGTATACTATAATACCGTTCAGCTTTTAAAAAATGAAGAGCTGAAATGAATGTACTAAATCAATGAATGCACTTAAGGTTCTGAATAAATAAAATGAATGTACTGAAATGGAATAAAATCCCCTATATATTGTTAAATTATCTAAACATTGTGGGCAATATGCATAACGTTATATCATTTGTCTTAAAAAATAAATAAATAATATGTTTATTGGTATGTTTTAGCTGTGTTCCCACCCAAATCTTGTTTTGTTCCCATATGCCCACACGTCGTGGGAGGGAACTGGTGGGAGGTAATTGAACAATGGAGGAAG